TTTTTTTATTTCATCCTTGATTTCTTCTGTTATCCATTCATCATTCAATAATGTATTATGTAGTCTCCAGGTGTTGGGGTAGCTTCTATTTTTTATTTTATTGTTGATTTCTAATTTCTTTCCATTATGGTCTGATAGAATGCAGGGTTGGTATCTCTGAGTTGTTTTTGTTTCGTTTTGTTTTGTTTTTTGCTAAGAGGTCTTTTGTGGTATAAGATATGGTCTGATTTTGAGAAGGATCCAATTGCTGTTGAGAAGAAAGTGTATTTGCTCATTGATGGAAGAAATATAATTGAGTCCAAATTATTGATTGTATTGTTTAATTCTGTAGTTTCTTTGTTTAGTTTTTGTTTGGAAGATCTATCCCGTAATGAGAGAGGTGTGTTCAAGTCACCCAGTATTGTGTTGTGGCCTATTTGATTCTTGAAATTGAGAAGGTTGTATTTGATGTATGTCAGTGCTCCATTGATGTATATCGATGTTCCATTGAGTATATGTATTTATGATTCTTAAGTCTTTTTGACTTATGATTCCCTTAAGTAATTTGAAATATCCTTCTTTGTACCTTCTGACTACCTTTTGCTTGAAGTCCACTTTATCTGACATGAGGATGGAAACCCCTGCTTGTTTACACAGTCCACACAAGTCATACATTTTTTCACATCCTTTCACCTTCAGTCTGTGGATGTCTTTGCAAGTGAGGTGAGTCTCTTGTTAACAGCATATTGTTGGGTCTTATTTTTTAATCCAATCTGCCAGTTTATGTCTTTTGATTGATGAGTTTAGGCCATTAATGTTCAGTTATTATTGAGATATGATTTGTATTCCCATTCATTTTGATTTATTTCTGATTTTTTATTTGTCTTAGTTTCTCCTTTGATTGGCTCTTCCTTTAATGTAGTTCCTCCCTTTGCTGGGTTTCACTATTTTGTTGTTTTTAATTTTCTCCTCATGGAATATTTTGCTGAGAATGTTCTGTAGTGCAGGCTTAGAAATTGTGAATTGTTTTAACTATTGTTCAGCATGGAATGTTTTTATTTCTTCAAATCTGAAGCTTAATTTTACTGGATATGAAATTCTTGGCATCTGTTTTCTTTCAGAGCTTGGCATATATTGTTCCAGGATCTCCTAGCTTTGAGGGTTTGGGTTGAGAAATCAGCTGAGATTCTAATTGGTTTCCTCCTCTATGTAATCTGATCCTTTTTTTTATAGCTTTTCAAATTCTATCCTTATGCAGTATGGCAGGCATTTTCATTATAATGTGCCTTGTTGTATGTCTGTTGTAATTTTGTATGTTTGAGGTCCTGTCAGCCTCTTGTATTTGATTTTTAATTTCATTCTTCAGGTTTGAGAAATTTTCTGATATAATTTCATTAGAAAGATTGTGCATTTCTTTGGTTTGTATGTTCACACCTTCCTCTATCCCAATAAATCTTTTCATGTTATCTCATAATTCTGGGAAGTTCTATTCATGGTTTCTTACCATTTTCTCTGTGTGATCAACTTTATTTTCAAGATTATATATTGTGTTCTTTGCCTGAGATTCTGTCTTCCAAGTGCTCTAGTCTTTTGATGGTACTTTCCATTGAATTTTTAATTTGGTTTATGGATTCCATCATTTCAAGGACTTCTGCTTAATTTCTTTTCATAATCTCTCTTCCACCTCCTGAAATTTATCTCTGATTTCAGTTTTTACATCATTCTTTATGACATGAATCAGTTTATGTACATTCTGAACTCCTTATCTGACATTTCTTCTACTATATTGTCAATGGACTCTGTCATTGGAGCATCTTGGTTTGTTTGGGGCAGTTTGTTCTCTTGGTTTTTTGTTTGTTTGTTTGTTTGTTTGTTTGTTTGTTTTTCATGTTTTTGGTGTATCTTTCCATCTATCAGTGTCGATCCGAAGCACCACTATTTCTACCCTGTAGATTTATAGTGTCTCTGAATTTTTCAGTACCTTGTGTTTAAGGGGGAGATCAATATTAACAGCACCCAATACAAACAATACATAGCCTTAAACCAAATAGCTCCTATTAAGACATCAGGCACTTCTCTCCCGATGGTTCTGAGAGCTGATTGCTGGAACCTGTGTGCATGTCATGGAGAGCTGTTCTGTATTAAGMAAATCAGAACCAGGCACTGAGAGCTATGGATGGCTATTTTGCTGTGAGCTCTGGCTAGGATTGGTAGCTAGGGAGGGTTTAGGAGCTAGTTTGCCCTGTTGGGTGCCAGATCAATGCCAGACCTAGCAGGACCAGGGGAATCTATTGATGATAGATTGGGGATAGAGTTGGCAACCAGGCTGGTGCCAGGGCCCAGTGAGTGACAACCCAAGTGGGCCCCAGGAACCCAGCGGGTGCCAGACCAGATGGCTGGGTGAACCAAGAGCAAGATGTTATCACACCCTCTTCCATTCTTCCCCATCTGTCTCCATGTGCTTCAGCACTTGCAGATCTAGAGAGAGCTCAGCTCTATCCCTCCTCTACAGCAAGATGGTGGCTACTAGCACACCTAATAGGGAAGACCTCAGGTGTCATCAAATCTGTAGGCTCCTTGATAATGGACATCCAAGCCCTGGCCTGTGTCACAAGATGGAAGCTGCTACATCTTAAAGTGGCGATGGCTGTGGCAGCAGTGTCCCAAGATGAAGGAGGTCACATTGGAGATGGAGTCGTTGTAGACATAAATCTTTCTTTTTTGTGGTGGGGGAAGGGACCAGAGATTGAACTCAGTGGTACTCAACCACTGAGCCACATCCCCAGCCTTATTTTGTATTTTATTTAGAGACAGGGTCTCACCAAGTAGCTTAGCACCTCACTTTTGCTGCACCTGGCTAATTTTTTTCTTTTTGATCTTTACAACTTAATTGCTTTTTTTCACATGCTTATCACCTACCTGCATATTTGCAATGACTTCTTTACTGCCTTCTCTTTCTCCATACTTCTGACTTAAGATTCAATGTAATAAAAAGTTTTCAATGACTATCCAGTGGCTTGATTATAAAAGTTGTGTAAAGAAAGGTCTTAATACTTTTTTCTTTTCATGGTCTAACTTTACCTATTTAGTTCATCTTGACCCACTCCTCCACCTGGTATTTTACATTCTGGTGATAAATGATCTGTATACCATCTAAATTTGGAGTGTGATTTCTTTAGCCTTTAGGCTTTTGCTTTACTGGAAATTATATTTCTAGTCTTAGCACTTCCTCTRTGTAAACTTCTTTATTTTTGGCTCAGTTAGGAGGTCTTGCCTCTTTTCCATTTTACCTTCTGCATACCTCACTAAAATATTATGCATAATTGAAATTGATGATCTTTCTATTACTTCCTAGAGAATAAGTTACTTGAGTTTTGAGGCACCTTCATCCTAGACATCCAATAAATACTTGTTGGATAAAAGAACATTTGGATACCAACTAAATGAAGTTTGTTAGATGATGTACCATTTTGGCCTATCATGTGATTTATTTACTTTTTTAAATTTTTTAATTGATTTTTAAAAAAGTAAATGACAGCAGAATGCATTACAATTCTTATTACACATATACAGCACAATTTGTATATAAAATATACAAATTGTGTATAAAATATGTTTATGGTTGTATATAAAATATGTTCATACCAATTTGTGTCTTCATACATTTACTTTGGATAATAATGTCCATCACATTCCACCATCCTTGCCAACCCCCTACCCCATCTCTTCCCCTCCCACGCCTCTGCCCTATCTAGAGTTCATCTATTCCTCCCATGCTCCCCCTCCCTACTCCACTATGAGTCAGCCTCCKTATATCAGAGAAAACATTCAGCATTTGTTTTTTGGGGATTGGCTAACTTCACTTAGCATTATCTTCTCCAGCACCATCCATTTACCTGCAAATGCCATAGTTTTATTCTCTTTTATTGTTGTGTAATATTCCATTGTGTGTATATATGCCACATTTTTTAATCCATTCATCTACTGAAGGGCATCTAGATTGGTTCCACAGTTTTGCTATTGTGAATTGTGCTGCTGTAAACATTGATGTGGCTGTGTCCCTGTAATATGCTGTTTTTAAGTCCTTTTGAGTATAGACCGAGGAGAGGATAGCTTGGTCAAATGGGGCTCCATTCCCAGTTTTCCAAGGAATCTCCATACTGCTTTCCATATTGGCTGCACCAATTTGCAGTCCCACCACAATGTATGAGTGTGCCTTTTTCCCCCACATCCTCGCCAACATTTATTGTTGTTTGTCTTCATAATAGCTGCCATTCTGACTGGAGTCAGATGAAATCTTAGAGTAGTTTTGATTTGCATTTCTCTCATTGCTAGAAATGATAAACATTTTTTCATATATTTGTTGATTGATTGTATATCCTCTTCTGAGAAGTGTCTGTTGAGGTCTTTGGCCCATTTATTGATTGGGTTATTTGGTTTTTGGTGCTTAGCTTTTTGAGTTCTTTGTATACCCTAGAGATTAGTGCTCTATCTGATGTGTGAGAGGTAAAAATTTGCTCCCAAGATGTAGGCTCTCCATTTACCTCACAGATTGTTTCTTTTGCTGAGAAGGAACTTTTTCGTTTGAATCCATCCCATTTATTGATTCTTCATGTGATTTATATCATTACTTTTTATCCTCTATCCAGCACACATTTATTCTATGTCAAATAAGCTTGAGCCAGAATAGTGATTTTCCAATAGATTTAAACTTGTCCTCATGGATCTACTAATTTAACAATATATTCACTGAGTCACACTTAGAAGGGTAAGATCTGATATGTGCAATTTTGAAAGACAAAAAAAAGTGTCAATAATAGCCATTTTATGACTCAGTAGTTCTTTGGAGGCATTTATCCACCAAAAATTTTTAAAAATTGTGTGAGCTAAAGAAAATGTTTTCTAAGAGTAAACAGTTATTTGTGTTTGTAAAGGAAAGAAAATATTAAGTTTAATATTAATATTTTAAATGTACTTATAAAATGCAGACATGAAAAAAATGTTTTTTTCTTATTCTTTAGGAGGGGTTAAAACTTACATATGAGGCAAAGAGTGAAATCCTGGAATCTCAGCTGACATTTTTGAGGTAAAGTGAATTATCCATTTATAGTCACAGTAAAAGAATAATGATCTTAAGATATGTTTGAGTGTTTATGAACTACTGGTTTTACTCAAATTTAGAATTACTTGGTAATATTTTATATGCAATATGATTTATATGCAATTTTTCTCACATTAATAAAGGATGAAAAGGCATAAAATTGTGAATCCTTTTTCAAACAACATTTCTGTGTGCTAAATTATACATTTTCCATCTTCATCAGTTGTAACATATTTGTGTTTTCTTATAGAAATAAGGATTACTAGTTGTTCTTATAAATTGTGCTTTTATAGTTAAATAGTGAAAATAAAACACTCAAGCATTAAAATTATAAGCAAGTAATTTTTTCTCTGTAGATCAACTTTATGTAATTTAAAGTTGTAACCATAATATAATAATTTGAATATTTGTATGCATGATGAATTTAAGTATATTTGATGCATGTTCATCTACTTTTTATAATTCTTTATGTTATAGATCCCATTAAAACTTTGACTAATAGTTTAACCATTACTGATTTATGAATAAGTAGAAAAAGATATCATCAGCAATTAATTTTTGATAAAAGATCACTTGAAATTGTGGTAATACATGTTTTCAAATCAAGTGAATTTAAAAATATTTTTATAATTTTATTTTACTAAATACAACTTGAAATAAGTTGGAAAATCTTCTAGTTCATGTACCAACTAGACTTACCTAGAGCAATGCAAAGAACCAGAACTAATGGCTTTCACTGTACATGCTATTACTTATTTTTAATGTACTCTTAAGTTTTAGGATTTCAATAGAGATTTTTACTTTTTCACAAAGAGCCCTAACATTTAAAAAATAGTCTAATACTTGCTTTCCTGCTTTTTATCTTACTTTGTTGTCTTTTGATTTCCATCATGATTTAACTCTTCAATTTTTGAAGTGATATGTTACTAGATATTAAATTAATGAGAATGTGACTTATTTAGTCTCACTCAGAATTCAACAATGTCATCTTTAATTACATTAGCATACCAACTTGCACCGAGTTAGACTTTATTCTCTGCATTCTTCTGTTTCTTAACTTTTTTGTAACCTAATTTAAGATTATTCAAAGAGGCATTTTTCTGAAACAAAGAAATAAAATCACTATTCAGAAATTCCTTTTAAATATTCTCTTTTGCCATTCCCAGTAACCAAATCCACTTGAGTGTTTTTAGTCTGAACCTGACAGAAGTTAGTAATAGGGCCCCTTGACTTTGGAATGTGCTTCCAAAATTCTTTTTATAAAGCCTTTGAAATTCAAACTTTCTTTATGCAATACTTAAAACGAAACATTATGTTAGAAATGCTATATTGGAGAGAGGGCATACACAGCTCCTTTATTTCCCYCTCCAAATTTTAAACCACCATTAGATTAACTTTTTTTTTAATCCTTAGACATTCTAAAAATTACTCCACCTCCTTTGGGCTGCTTGAGAGTCCCCAAATCTCAAGAGTTGAAGACGTATATTTCAGCCGGGAGGAATGGTTATTGGCGTTTCCTCTGCAACAGTGAGTGTACTAGTCAGCTTTTGATTGCGATGATTAAACCACCCAATATGAAACTTAAAAGCCAGAAAAGTGTATTTTGGCTCACAGTTTTAGAGGTTTCAGTTGAAGGTCTGCTGGCTCCATTGCTTTAGGCCTAAGGCCAGGCAGAATATCATGGTGGAAGGGTATGGCAGAGCCGCACATTATGGCAGTAGGGACTCAGAGAGAAAGAGAGAGAGATACAGAAAGAGGAAACGGTTAGAACCGTGATATACCCTTCCAGGGCATGACCTCAGTGACCTGCTTCCTTCAACTGGACCCCACCACCTCCCCAAAATGCCATTAGCTATGAACTGATCGATGGATTAATCCATTGATAAAATCAATCCCTCATAACCCAGTTGCTTCCCCAAAAGCCCCACAGTTGCTATACTGGGGACCAAACCTTCAACACATTAACCTTTGGGAAACATTCCAGGTCCAAACCATAACATTGAGCAAGTTAAAATAGTTATAGTCCCCTAGCATAGAAACGCCAACAACAGGGAGTAGACTGAGCAGGAGTCTCCTTTGTAAGCTTGGTAGTTGGCTTTTAAAAAATATATGGTAGGATGACACAATCCTGTAATTTGGGAGTCTAAGGCAGGAGGATTGCAAATTTGGCCTAGCCTAAGCAATATAATGAGACCCATATGTGTGTGTGTGTGTGTGTGTGTGTGTGTGTGTATACATCTTTTCCATATATACATGGAAAAGGACTTCTGGACAATGAGGCTCAGATGCTCAGTTGACTTTACCAAGGCTTTACTAGAGATAAAGAAGAAATTGGGGAAATGCAACCCATGTAGTAGTCACTTAATTCTTAAAATATCAATTTAGAGAAAAACTTCTTTTAGGGGTGAGTCCATAAAGTAAAAGCAAACAAAAAT